TGACAATAGCTCAGAGAAATTGCTCAAAAGCCATGCTGAAATTTTTGAGGCTAAGTGAACAATAAAGAAAGTTGGCCTTTAATAAAATTAAATATATGCTATTCAAGTATGTATGTCTAAAGATTCACTAAAAAATGAGCATGCATGATGAAAAATGCACCAAACCTAATAAAAAGTTTTATAATTGAAATCTTTATGTTATTATTAAGAGGAGAAACTAAAGAATTCTTTGATCCTTTTTAGAACCATCAAAATGTTTTTCTTGCATCAAAGGGTGACCATAAATTAGTATAGTAAATTTTAGCATATTTTTTATTGGAAAGCACATTGATTTAGAGATTCTTGCAAAAATGAAATAATTGTCGGATTTTAAAGAAACTTATTGAAATGAATTAAATTATTTTAGAAATATTTCTTTTTCGGAAAATCTTGGTAAAAATATTTTTTCTAGATGTTACACCCCACTTATTTAATTTTATAAAATTTCAAGAAATTCATTTTTGTATGGCTTAATATTAGTTATAAGCACAAGTCCTTGGAGAATGTAAATCAATTTTTTTGTAAAAAAGGACCACCAATTACAAAAAAAAATGAAATAAAACTAAGACATTATTTAATTAGAAAAGCTTTTAATTATTTTTATGGACACTATTGTCTTTAGAAAAAAATTTTTTGATGAATAATGGATTTTTACAAGAATTGTTTTCAATTTTTTTAAATTTGAATTATAATAATTTATAAAGTTTTAAATCTTTTAAAATTCTGTATTAATTTGTAGTGGTTAGGTGATATTGTAATTAAGTAAAAATTATAGTTACTAATCATAAATGGAAAAGCTTACTACTTCCATGATTCCCGGTAATTTAAAACAAATTTTGAAATTTTGTGTGTATAAACATGCTAATTTTTGTAAATGCAAATGTCCATATGCAACATTATCAGAAATAAGAGAGGTAACTATAGTAAATTTAAAATGAAAGTACCTAAAATTCAATAAAACACTAGAATTTTTAAAATTACTAGAATGTTAAAAAAAAATTATATAAAAAAGGCACTGATGTTATATTAAAGTAGGTTTTACAGATATGTTTTCTATAGAAAAAATTTCCAAATATAAGTCTATCAAGATATTTGTCAACATCCATCTCCATGCTAAAAATGCTTTTCTGCGATATTTTTCTCCTCCAGTAGCTTAGCCAATTTGGTTCCTCTTTTGATCATGCAAATAGGGGTTTCATTGTAGTTGAAATCCAATGGAAGTTTGAAGATGCTGTACATCCTCCAGGCGAGAGTAGCAGCAATTCCATATGATGCTACTGCTAAAGCTACTTTTCTTTGGAGTCTCATTGCAGATAAAAGAAGGTTACAAAGGTTTTACCAGTACCTCCAGGTGCATCCAATAAGAAAATCCTTCCATTGTTGTTGCTGTTGTCAAGAAACTTGCTGTTGGCCTTGGTTTTGAACACATTGCCACAGTTCTTTCATATTATATCCTGTTTCTCTCAAAATTCTCTGTTGTTTTGTCCAGTTTCTCTGTTTGGCAGACCAAAATTGCTGAGATCTCTTTGAGCCAAGTTCATCACTTTGTTTTCAATTTCAGTGAGAACTAAATTTGTAATCTGAGGATTCGATTCCAATCCTGGATGAGCAAATCTCATTTGAAGATAAGATATTTAAAAGTTAGAGTTGTGTCTCTTTAATTTAAAAAGTGTGACACACACACACACACACATTTTCGCATTTATCATATAGATTTTTTTTTAAAGATTTTTTAATAAAGAGAATTCCTTAGAGATTTGTAAATATGGATAAAATCAGACATTTTTAGTGATTTAGAAAAAAAATTGCTTCCAGTTAATTTAAATTTGTTTTGAAATACAGTAAAGTATTTTGCTTAATGGAAATATTAAATTTAACCTATTACCTTGAAATTAAAATAAAAGCTTGAAGAAAAATTTTTCATTTTTAAAAATTCATTTGAAACCTTAGGTATAGCTTTTCTTTGGAGGTAGCTAAATTCAAGTGATTTAACATCAAGTTGCCTACAGTGGATTTTACATAATTTATATATAAAATATATTTTGAATGCATTAATTTTGTACCTATTGGTTTACTGATGGCAAAATAATCAAATTTTGAATTTAAATTGTTTATTAGAAATATTCAATTGAAATACAGAAGGAGTCATAAAAATGACTTCAAATGCCCCCACATTTCAGCATACCCCTTTTTCTCAGTGGTTGTTACCAGAGAGAAAGGGAAATTATCTCTTTTTACACAGATGTCCATTTCAATTTCATTCAAATTATGTGTGTATGTACATTTTAAAAATATTTCTATAAAATTAAAATAATGTTTTAAATGATTTTATTACTGAATAATTCTTGAAATGTATCATGTAATTACATGATTTGTTATGTTCTAAGAAAATTAATAGGATTTTCACTGAGAAATTAGTCACGCCTTTTTTTCCTCTCATTTCACTTGTGCCATTTTTGTCTGAATTCATATTAAAAAGTTTAACTTAAATTTAGAAAGAAAATGGAAAGTCTTTCTGGAAGCTTTAATTTTCATTCCAAACTTTTAATTTTAGTTTTAATTCCAAACTTTTCATTTTTAATTCCAGATTAAATTAATATTCCCAAGTAAAATATTTACTTTGGTGTATTTCAAATCAAATTAAGATAAGCAGTATGGTTTCTTTTGCTTCTACAGGTCAATTACTGATATATTGCTGAAAGATTCTATCAAGCTTTAGATAAGAATGCTGAAGCACAGGCTATTGCTTTGGATATCTTGAAGGCATTTGACAGGGTTTGGCATGCTGGCCTTCTTCACAAATTGAAAGTTTCTGGACAAAATTTTTAATCTTTCTTATCAAATTGCAAAATGAAAGTTGTCCTGAATAGCCACTCTTCTGGATCATTTTAATGCCACTCTTATATTATACCATAGTATTCAAAATATTTTTTTTTAAGATTCTGAAAATTAAAAAAAAATAGATATTAGTGATGTAAAGCACAGTTTCAAACCTGATATTTGTAAACAATCTGCTCCATCCCCCATAACTCTCAGTCTTCATATTTTTTTTATGAGTGGACCAGTCTAAGTAGTGCCTTGTTCATTAACAAATTTAGGCAAAATAATAAACTTTAAATTTAAAACTTTAATTAGTTCATGGCTACTCAGCGGGAATTCATAAAAAAAAACATTTACGTTTTTAACGTTTAGGACCACTTAAACTAACCCTTAGAAAACTAACAACGGGCTTTGCATTTTTCAACAAAGGCAATAATACTGCAAAGAGTGCAAACAATAACTTTCCCAAATTCTTCGAAAGTACAGAAGAATAAAGAGTTAACTACTAAAAAAAAATTATAGTGAAAGGACAGGTGAAAGAACATTTGTCAACAAATGTGTTCACGAAGACAATTGATAAAAATAAAGCTTGACAAAAGATCAATTTCAATAGCAACCACCTGGCCGATGTCGAAAGGCCCGCAGTAATACATCCGGTTGAAACGAAATATTCAAATTTGTACAAGAAATTAAAAGATTGACTTGAATAAAATATTAATCTATAAAACAATTACTTCATTTGCATCAACATCTGCTTTAGATTTTTGTATTTTTAATCGAATTACAGCGTGTACCACTGTACGCCATTTGCAGAAAGAAAAAGACATCTAGTATCACTTACGGATGACTAAAATAAAACTTTAAATGAAAACAAAAACATATTCGCATTTTGAATTCTTAATGTTTGTACATAATATGAATACTGCAAATTTTACTAGTATAAAAAATAAAGTTACCTTGGTATACCTGTCTACAACCTATACAGATTGAATTTAAAAACAAATGAATAAAAATGAAATCCAAATTAAGGAGAAAGAAATATTGTCACATATTTTTATTCACTCTACTCTACATACATATAAGTTTGTAAATAAGCATCCAGAATACGTTCTTACTCTTGTTTTTCTTTTACAGTTAAAATGAAAATACTTTGAGAAATAAGATTTAAGTAAGGGATAAAAAGTTATTTATTATGATTTAATAATAATTATAATATGAAAAAATTAAACATGTGAACATATGAATAAAGGAATAACAACTGTCAATGTTTTTCACAACTCTATTTTTAATTACAACTGACACTGCTTAATTATGCTATCATACTGCATGACCTAGGAGACACGATTCTAAGTCTCAAATACTCTCTATGACAAAATTTGACTCTTTCAAGATGCATACTTTTCTTTTCCTATCTTAAGGGATTTGCTGATTAAGTTGTGTGCTTATTTTTCAGTGAGACTGTTCTTAATACAATAATGTCAAACTTCCTAGTAATTAGATATTGAAAAGACAAACAAATTATTGAATTACACAATACAATAAACTTATTTAAACTATGAAACTGAAGAAAATAAATATGAATTAAATACTTAGTGATGCTTCTTTTATGTTTTTTACTTAGAAAATATTCTTTTAGCATAATTTTTTAAATATAATAAAAAATATAATTTATTATATAATTAAAATTTTAAATACTTTTAATTTAATTCATAATACATTTAAAATCTTGATGCATTAAAATATTTATTTTTGTACACAAAGCATTTGATTCTACTTTCCAAACTATCGTTATTTGTACAATTTGTACTTTTTAAGCGCTTCTAAGCCTCTGTAGTTACTGTAACCATGTGAATGTCTATAGTAAGTTACTTCCGCCGGAAGAAGGTCGACATGCGTGTAAGCATCATCATTGGTAACATCTACTATCATTGTCGTAGTACTACGTGGCATTTGATAGTGTCGACTTTATCTTCTTTCTATTTCACTTATTTCCAAACATATAATCGCTGTTTAGAATGGATAATTTTTTGATACCTACAATATCTTTATTGCTTTTCTTTACTACGGCAAGGGCTTACTTTGTCAATATTGATGCTCATGCTGAAGAATGCTTCTTTGACAAGGTCATCTCCGGCACTAAAATGAGCCTCATGTTCGAAGTGGCAGAAGGCGGCTTCCTTGATATCGACGTAAAGGTAAAATAAAACAACCTTTCTTCTGCAGTACGCCTTTGTACTTTTCATCTCATTCCACACTGTTCTACATTGTCATATTTTAGTTAGTATGTTATTTTGCTCACGAAATGCAACCGATTTCCTGTCCCTCTTTTCTTAAGTCTGCAACAACAACAACAACCAACCATTTAAATAAAACAAAACCTCTTTCGTTATCTTTTCAATTTTTTCTTTGAAAATTGTCTTTATTAAGTAAACTTTTTCTTTCGTCGTTTTCAGTTTCTATTCGTGATATCATTCATAATATTTTTGAAAATTATTTTCCAATACAAACTTGACTCTGGTGTAGTCGTTGTAGTTCCTTATAGCAACCAATATCATGAACTTTTTTTTTTTATCAAAAGGTGACGAATTTAAATGTAAACTTATTCCGACTGCCCATTTTTTTTAATTACTATGTTCTCGCAATAAAACTTTTTTTTTTTTTTTTTTTTTTTTTTTTTTAAATGTATATTTAAATTAAATCCAATTAGTTTTTCGTTATATTAGCTTTAATTTCCAACAACTGTTGAGTTTGCATGTGAAAAACTCTTTGCCATTTGTTTGCCTAAATCAACTTGACATATTTGCCTCAGCATTTTTTTTACGGTTTACCTCTTCTGAAATTCAAAGAAATACAAACAAGGAAAAAACTATATTGATATAGTGATTTGATAGTCTATCCCTGCCATACAGTATGGAGTTAGTAGACTAGGCGTCTGGATCCGATAAACATCAGCAAAAATCACAATTTTGTATTTTTGCATATGGGAATTTTGTTTTTAATAAAAATTGGCGGAGCGGGAGCTCTTCTATGCAATCAAATAGTGTAAGTAATTCTATGCCTTCATCTCCCAGTTTTTATCATTTATGTCTGATATTGCTCTTTTTCAGAAAAAGTATATTTTCAAATTGTTTTAAAACTGAAAACCGTTTCAGGGTTTTAAGTATTGTTCGTATTATTATTTATTACTGTTTTTTAAGTGTTAAAAATAAGTATGGCTATTAAAAAAATCTTAATTTCATGTTATTGTTATTCTTAATCTTTGTAGTGTTTGTGTTCTAGAAATTATAAATAAAAAAACAAAAAACAAACATTGTTTATTGTCACTAAATCTCACAAAAATTTAACTCTATATGTTGTTTTAAGTTTTAACCATTTATAAATTGAATTGAACATTGAAGATCATAATTCCGGGTCAAGGGGTCGTATTTGTAATTTAACCAAGTTCCAACTGGAGTTATTTGAAGAAAAAAATAAATACTTGATTAAAGTTTAAATTATTTCTCCCAAACATTGCGTGGCGGTACACGATAATTGAGAAGTCAATTAAGTAATTAATAAAAATAATAATGTTAATAATTCCAACGAAAAATGCTTTGAAATTTACTAGTATGGACATCAAACACTTTCATTTCATTCTAGATTAAGTAGTTCCTGTTTCTAACGGTTTTTTTATTTTATTTTTTTCTTCATTACTCGTGTGAAGTTTTCTTACATGAAACCTTACTGGTCATGGCCCCGTCCCCCATTTTTTTTCTTTTTTTAATCAAAATTTTACTATTAAGAAAATTCATAATTCTCTAGCAGTAAAGAAAAATTTAGGCTAAATAAAAATGCTTAACGTTTTAGTGTTGCAATGACAATTTCGTTGTTGAGGGTTTTTGTTTCACTAATGAATATTTTAATCATTCGATATTATCCTCTTATTTTTAATTCAGTAATGCATATTTAAAAAGTAACATCGCTTCTTCGTAGTAAAGTCGTTACAGAATGTACTTGGTTAATTAAAAAAATGTGTGGAAGTTGTCACCTTTTTTTTTTTTTTTGTATTTATGCCCCTTGAGAAAGGCATAAATTTTTATTGACATGATAATTTTTAGTTTAATGGATGAGTGTGCACTTTAACAAACGACATTCCCATTATTTTCTTGTGTTTCAAAAGATCTCAACATTGTCCTCCATCTCAGAGATTATTTTATTTAAGAATACAAGCCCCTCAATATTTATGTAGTATGTAGTGTAGAGCTATTGATTGATCTCTAACTGGTTTTCATAAACAACCATTTTTTTGCAGTTTGCTTCTGGTACTCAATGGACAAAGTGGATTATGAGGTAGACTTCATGGTGGGATTGAGTTTATGTTAAAACAGACTTCATGAAATGGTTTTTAGAAAGTTATATCAAATAATTAAAATGTAAAATTGTGCATTGTTAGACAATTTAATTACAATCTGGATGTGCAGTTATGGAGAAACCCTCAGTTAAGGTTATTATTAATTTCAGGTAACAAGAATTCAAATATTTGATTTAAGGCTAGGAATTTATTTTAGTTTAATATTTCTGGGCTGCTAAATTATATATTTATGTCTATGAGCCATAAAATCATGTTCATGGAGTCACTGAACTGGGACAAAGATCAAAGTTAAGAGAACTTTGAAAATCTTGATGAATACTAAAAACTTGTCGTTTTTTTGGGGGGGTCCTTGGGGAAAAATTTTGTTCTAACCTACACAGCTGTGTACTAAATCATAAATGTCAATTACAGCTGATTTCAGAACATATTTCCACTTGCTCTTAATATGGATGTACCTTTTTTATTGTTTCTTTCTCTAAAGCCTTGTTGGTGAATCCCACCAAAATAGTTTATTTAATCTTGCTTATATTTTATGTTGAATAGCTGTAATAATGGAGATAAATATAAAAGGTTCAGTTCTTGTTGTAAATTCCTATTCTTAAATCTGTTAATTTTAGAAACTCAATCAAAATACCCTTATGTGCTATAACTAAATCTTTGAGATCTCTTGAGTATTGAATACATAATTGATCATAATTATTTTGTGTTATTTGTGCATTTTATTTTTAACCTAATTCTTTCTTATAGTTTGGAAACACTGAGACCAGATGTTTTCATTATAATGACTTTTTTTCTTACTGTAGTGAGACAACCATGCTTTACAAATTGATTCAACTTATATTTTGTGGGAAATCTATGAATCAAAAGTTATATCATTAGTTACCCCCTTTTTTCTGTTAAAAATGTTGATTTGTCAGTAAAATTTATCATGAAAGTTTAATATCTTTTTATTTAGGCAGATTCTTGTAAGAAAAATGAACATTGACAACATTTACAAAACTCTTCAATAGAATAAAAAGGTTTAATCAATTCTCATAAAATTTATACTAAAAAGAACTGGAGAAAATTTTAAAGTTTTTAAAATTTTAGTTGTTACCAAAAACAAATATAGAAAATCATGTGAAAAATGTTATGATTATTATTAGGATATGCCTTTCTATTCTGTTCATTCTGGTTGTTATATTCATATTTCGGCCATTGTATCCTTCAGATGTCTATTATACACATTAACCCTTGCAAAATTTTGAACTGAACCCCCTTTTTCTTCATTCTGTTTTTTATAAAATCTCTCAGTTAATTTTCTGTTTGTTTGTTTTTTTTTTGTTTTTTTTTTCTTCTTCACACTGAATCAGAGTACATGACTGCCTCATAACTGCCAAGAAATCAAATATAGTTTAACTAACAATTTTATCCACTATGTCCTGTTTCTTGTACAATCCAATTGTGTAATTTTTTAATCTTAAACCTAATGTCTGTGTTCAGATTTTTGAGCCTCCTTTCTTACTTAATTGGAGGCTTCTAGATGATGTTGATCTCTATGCTAAGATCTACTGAAGAGGTTGTCAGAGCTTAATGTGTGCTAATTTTGTCATCTTATCCTCCAGTATTATTTTCTATCTATCTTAAATTCATTCTGCAGGTCAGTAACTATACTTTTCTCCTCTAGACATAAACCATTCTTGTTGGTTCCAATATCTCCTTCCTTTTGATTTTCCTACACTGTTACCTTTAGTGGGTGGCTGATTTCACTGTCATTTTAGTTTCATGTTCTTTTAATTTGTTTTTAATACAGATTGAATAGTCTTCTCTTCATCTTCAGATTTTCTGTTCAGCAAACAGAATGGCAGTTAAAAGGGTTATAATTAACTTGTTAATTCTTCTCAAACACCTAAACAAAATCAGTTTTAGTCACTCATACCTTAGCCGTCACATTACAAAGTGTACATAAATTTAAGTTTACTTTCAAACTTTTGACTTCAACTTTGACAGGTACATGCATGGTTAAATATCTTTTTGTGAGGCAGATTTTATTTTCAGTAATTTTTAAAAAATTACATTCACCTTTTGACGTGATTAATATGGTGTATTTTGGTCAATTTGGAGTGAACAAATCATTAAAAAGTTATCTTGCATACAAATTTTTTTTTTTTTTTTTTTTTTTACATTAAGTTTATATTTTCATGTAATGAAAATTTTAACTAGTCTGATCCTATATGGATCTGTATTTCACTTCATTTTTTAGAACAATCTTCATTAATCTTTTTAAAATATCACTCCATTACTTTTCTTGAGGAAAATCTTTCTGCTGTTACTCTAGAATTTAATATAAAATTGTACGACTTAAAAGAAAATCTATTAATCGTTATGAAACTATGTAAGATTTTTTTTTTTTAAAGAGATCTTAAATATTTTTAAAGATTAATGAAAATATTTTTCAGACATTTTACTAGTCTTTCTAAGCTATTAATGCTGTCAACTCTTTTTGTATATCCCACTTTATTTTCTCCAGTTATTCACAACTTTAAAAAAAAGTAAGTAAATGACATCCTTATTAATATTGGGGAAAATTGTATTGTTCCAGAGATATTGTGTACAAAATATTTTATAATTCTTAGTGATATTGGGTTTGTGCAAATGTTCCTAATGTTTTTTATAAACTAAACTGAATACATACATACATACACACACAATATTTTTATTTTTAATAATAAATGCTGGTACTTCACACAATCATAAGCTTTCTTTATTGGACTACTCGTGTGTGTGTATATATATATATATATATATATATATATATATATATATATATAATCTTCTTTTAAAGCTAATTGCTAATTTTTGGGGCCAATTCTCGCATTATTTATTTCACATTCCTGGCTACTGTTTCTTAATTGTACTTTTAAAAATTCAATGTTTGTAAAATAAAATGTTACAGAAACCTATTTCTCATACTACAAAAGATTAGCCAATGTTAAAAGCTTTCACACACAATGCCACACTGCTTGTTGGTGGCAGAACAACTTGACATTTTTTTTTCTCTTTAGCTGTTTTGCTCCTAAGTCCTAGGCTAACTTACCTTCATTAGACATTAAAAACTTTTTCTTTTTTTCTTTTTCTTTTTTTGCACAGCAAAATTTGTCAAATTCTTTTGAGTTTTTGACAATGTCTACCAATCAAAACAACAAAAACAAATTACTTTTAATTAAATGTGTTGACTCAAAATTTGATATATTGTGTGTGTGAATTATTTTATTTCAAAGATACTGTTATCTAAATTTAAAAAAAAATGAAGCTTAATGTGTTTGAAAGAATGATTTTGTTTAAATACAAAAGATTATTGAATATTTTTCCAGAATTACGCATTTTAATTATGCCAACAAAAAAGTTTTTATTTTGTAGAAGTTAAGTTTGATGTATTATCAAATGTAAATTTGTAAGATTATCATTTTCTAACTTTTTTCTTTTTCAGATCTATGGTCCTGATGGAAAAGTGATTCATACTGCTGACAGAGAATCAAATGGAAAATATACATTTGCTGCTCATATGGATGGCATATACAAGTACTGCTTTAGCAATAAGATGTCTACCATGACACCTAAGGTGGTTATGTTTAGTATGGATATTGGTGAAAAGCCTAAGGACACTAACAATATGGATACAGATGGTAAGGAAAACAAACCCTTACAGTTTTTCTGTTATGAATTAAGATAATTTTGATTCTTGTTATTGATAATTAGTGCTGCATGTGAAAATTGAATCCATTCTCCATATTGTTTCCACTGTAACCTTTCTTTATTAACAGACTTATCATGTAAAATTGTGGATTATCTTTGAGTCAGTTTCATTGTTGTTATTAGCTGTGATTTTTTACAATAAGTATGGTAAGAGATATTCAAATAAATTTATAAAAGCCACATTAACTTTTGTCTATATTGTATATGGTAGATAATAGACTAAATGAATAAAACTTGGTCTCTTCTCGGATGGCACTTGCTTAACTTTGTTTACTTCTTGTAATCACTGAACCATATTCATTAATTACCTGTATTGACAGATATATTTACTAAAGGTAATTAGTTTTATCTTCATACATAATAGGGTGATCAAGTAAATTTAAAGCAACTATAATTGTTTTTAGACAGTTGTATAAATAAGATTGTCGCTCATTTACAATCGTCATTGGTCACATTTGTATTTCCCTTGTCTGCAATTGTAAAAACAGAAAAGGAGCAAAGAGCTTACTACTGGTGACTTGAAATATTTTCTATCAATTAAAATAAGTGAAATTTGATTATGTATTTTGTAGCTCACCATAATAAGTTGGCTGAGATGATCAATGAATTGTCAACAGCACTGACAGGAGTAAAACATGAACAAGAGTATATGGAAGTTAGGGAGAGGATACACAGAGCCAGTAAGTAGCATTTGTCAATGTATATGCAATAGAATGTTTGTATTTAGAAAAGGAATTTCTTTTCGATGTTGCATATTTCTGTATTTGGTTTATGTATATTTTATAAAAAGTTTCAAAAGTTGTTCGAAATGAAAATGAGTTTTCTTTTTCTTTTCATGTTTATATTTTAGCAAATATATTGGTAAAACTTAAGTGCTGAATTGGTACAAGACTTCATACAAATTGATCTAAATAGCTACTCTTGATTAGTTCAAATTCTTAATGTACAAATATAACATGTTTCTATGCTTTGTAATACATTCAGATTATTTTGCATTTGCTTATTTTATCCTTCACTTAATATTTCAACATCAGCTATTATTCACACAAAAATTTATTAATCCAGGATAGAAATTGTTCTAACAGTTAGAGGCTATTAAAATCAGTAGGAATAGTTCTCTTTTAAACTGCCTTGCAATATGCAAAATATTTACATAATCTGATTTTTATTTTACTTTTATTACACCAGTGATATGTTTCCTCCTTTTCTTTCAGTTAATGACAACACAAATTCCAGAGTCGTGTTATGGTCATTCTTCGAAGCCTTGGTTCTTGTTGCTATGACCCTTGGACAAGTTTATTACTTAAAAAGATTTTTTGAAGTTCGACGAGTTGTGTGATGTGTAAAATTAAGGATTTTTTTTTTTTTTTTTTTTTTAAATTTAATTTATCCGCTTTTTTTTTTTTTTTTTTTTTTTTTAAATGAATGAAGTGGGGTGGGTACAGTAGCAATTGTTCACTTCCTCAGCAGGTTGGGGTCTTAATCATTTATCTTTCCATCCTCATAAGATATAAATGTTTTTCATTCAACCTAACCAGCAACATATGCAAGTGAAAATGGTATCTGGAGATTACATTTATTTTCCCTATAACATTCAGGGATCTTTTTCTATTAAATAATCTGGAATTTGGGGCAGATTATTACTGCCTACATTTCTGGATTGATTAAACCCCCTTTAGTTCCTAAAATATACAACAATTTTGATTGCTAATTACCATCTGAAAGTCAGTTACTATTATCTAGGTGTAGGGGAGATAATCGAGCTTATTTCCTATCCTAAATTGAAGTTCCTAACCGGAAAGAAAAATCTTCGAAAATTTAATTTCAAAATTCAAAGAAATTATAAATGGACATTATTGTTGCTGGATTTCAATATATGTATTTTGTAGATATGGTTAGTTTGCATTGGGAATGTTTTGACTGTACCTGCTGCTGATTTAACTAAGAATAAGATATTCCTAGTTATTAACTTGTGACGTACCACTCTTATCCTCATCAATTTAAACAATAAAGAGGACTTTGCTCAAACCAAACCTTTCACTTGGACTGTAATAAAAGAGAAAACCTATCAAACTCAAACACTGGTTGCAAGTTCAAATTTCTACATTTGCCTTTGTCTATTTCACTTTTGCCACTCTTTCACTGGTAACAAATCAGCAGCTTGTTCACAAATTTGACAGTGAAATCCTCACAGATTTCTGGATGAAGTGGGCATTTTTTTCCAGACTAATTAACATTGACCATTATTTTGATATTTACAGAGTTTGTTGAAAACCTAAAGATCTAAGATTAAGGATTTACTGAATAAAGATTATATTAGGTATTTTGGAATGGCAACAAATCTTAATGAAATAAGGGATACGGTTACACTTTCAGTTAGCATGGAAAGTTATTGACTATGCATTTTTTTTTTTTTTTTTGTGTCAAACTGTCAAGTTGATAATGCATAAGGAAACCAATTTCAAATCCTGTCATCTTCCTCCAGTAGCCTGTATTACTTGCAAAATGTATTCTCTTTCCATGTGAAAATTCGGAGAATAGCAATAATAAAAACTGTTCAACTTTCAATGCTTTGGTATCAGAATTTTTCCAGTTTTCATTTTCATCTTTGTCCTAGCAATAATTCTAACAGAATTTATACTAATCTTAATTCATCAGCATTGACCACCGGGCGGGGGGGTAAGCTCATGCTCATATTTTCATCAATTTAGAGTTAAGTAGGAATTTAGCATGTTAGTGAATTTTCAGATATGGTAATTTTGACAGCCCATACAGAATAAAATACAAAAAGAATATCTTTTAAAAATAAAAAAAAAAGTCACTATACTTAAATTTTTTTTTTTTTTTTTAAATTTCAAGTATATATAATTTAGTGATAACCATTTTTCTGTGATGTTATTAGTATATTTCATACCGGGAAAAAAACTATTGGGTACATGGTTAATTTCTCTGTAAATCAAAATTACTTATATTATACTTTATCCTTTTAAACAAATTTAGTTTACTGCATAACATATAAAGTACAATAAAAATTAAGGTGAAGGTGCACTAAATGATCAGTTTCATTTTCCAGATGATCAAATCAATAGCATTTTAATTTACCAAGTATTAATGGATCTATGAACTATTAAAGGGTATTGTCTAATATCACTCACTGTAACTCACTATCTGTAAACAAACCAATGAAACTAAATTTGCAATTGTTTGAATCAAGCCATGTTCAATTTTAATAAAGTGTTGTTTTTATAGGTACTTACGATGACATTGCTACAAAGCTTTCCATTGTCACTAAAAGAGATTTCTTTTATAAAACCTTATGTAACCTGAGATTTATTTCAACTAATCTATATAAAAAAAAAAAAACTAAATTTAAAGACATCATACTGTAAAAAGCTTTGCATTCAGTAAGTAGAAAATTTCAGAAATATCCATATGCAATTTACTTCTGGCAAAATAGTCAAATCTACAAAAATTGGATAAAATGAAATTAAAATTTCAGTGATGGATGTAAAGATAAATTGGGAAATATGACCAATTAAGTAGGTTGATTACAAAGGTAGGGCTGGGAGAAAAAACTCTTAAGGAATTATCAGTTAATGTTAAACTAACATCAATTTGTGAGAATCTTCCTTTAAATCTAACCAATTACCCTCTCTTGAATGAAATCTAATTGTCATAACTGTAAATCTTAAATCATTGTAAATATCAATGGAAATGTCTGACACAGCAGTCATTAATTTTTAGTGGTATAAATAGAATGAAAAATATTTTTAATACAAATTTCCAGCTTTTTTTTCTAAACTGTATGTTAAGGAATGGACAGGTTCTTTGGCTGTGAATAAATATTGGTTTTACAGCTGATACTTATCCTATTGCAGTCAAATACTGTGGTGTGATTTCTATTTCAGCTTTGATCTCTGGTTTATATGGAAGGTAGTAAGCTTTAAGAGTGGAATAGACTGCATTCCTGTAATATAAAGGAAAATCAAAACCTGGTGGTATGCTGAGATACTGCTACTAGTTGTGGTAATGATACTGTAAGCCTGAATCAAGGGTATTCATCTTGGGGGGTACTATAAGTGGTTGGAATTCTATAAACAGTAAGATAAAGACTTTCTAACCACAATGATTCACTGCTTAAACCAATCAGATGGATACAGGTGATAATGAACAGATAATTCTGCTTTAAAAGAACTTTTCTTCAAAAAAAAAAAAAAAAATCAAGCTAAATGGTAGAAATAATTTGAAACAGGAAACATTTGTAGTAAGTAACAATAATAATCTAGTCAAGAGCATCATGGTATAATTGTCAGCAAGTTGAACTAGTAGTTTACTATTCTCATAGCAAAGCCATGCTTTGGAAATAACATTCTAGCCAATGCCAGAATGTTATTTCTGAAGGAAAAGTTTAGTTTCTAAATTTTCTGAACAAAATGTAGTTACTGTAATCGGAACTTTTATTATGTCACCACTTCAAAATTAATTCTTACATTTTAGGCAGTTTTTCTTTTTAATTGTAATACTGACAGATATTGCTTCTTATTTAATAAGAAATTTTTATCTGTACATGACAATAAGCAAAAGTGGCAGTCGAAGAAAGATATTTGCCAAAAAGCTTTTAAACATGGCAAGATTTAAATTTTTTGTAATCTTTGTTTAAAACTAATAAATGATTTTGTTTGAAAGATGTGACATTCTGAAACCTGTAGAAATTAAGTTTTTGCTTAAAGGAAGTGCAAAATATTTCGGAATTAATTTTTAAGTAAAAAAATAAAAATAGGTCAGACAAAATGAGTAAACATTAAAGACAAGGTAAAACAAGTTTAAAGTAGTAAGACAAGGTAGAAGATTGGAAATAGGTCTACAAATAGAAAATTGTAAGAAAATGCTAGAAATAAGTCTTAATTATATATTAAGGAGTAAAATCAAAAGGAAAATTTTGAGAAGCTTAATTTTTTTTTCATGGACAGTTTTTATATTTAAACTATCATGTCTGCTCTGGCCAAACAAAGTGTTTAGTGGTCAGTTTTGTTTTTGTGTGCGTTATACAAGCAACAATTCTATAGGGGTTGGGGGTGATAAATGAATCTAGATATGCCACCATAAAATATCAAAACCTGAAAACAGTAAAAGCAAGAATTTTTTATATCAGGATTCTCAAAATAAATTTATGGGAATTTTATTCACTCATCAATGATTGCTTTATAAGTGAAATAGGCTATAAGCAAAGAAATTTCCTGAATATAAGCAAACAAAAAAATGATTTTAAGTTAAACAAGCATGAACTAAAACTAAAAGAGGACCCCCAAAAGTTAAATATGAACAGTAAATGCAATTTAAAAAAAATAGAAAACACATTGAAAGTAAAATCTTAGTGTAATCCATTTTTTTTTTTTTATCTTGCTCCATCTAACTTAGAAATCTCTCAAAGTTAAAAACATTAAACAAAAAAGAAAAAAAGATTGAAACACTTATACTTGAATATTTGGTATAAATGCGTGTAAATAAAATCAGGTGACCAAGCAAAGTGACGTGATTTCTATATTCAAAAAAGAATAGAAATTACGTCACTTATGCTGACTGACAATTGTTTGGACTAAATGCTTTGGTGATTAACAAATGACCTTGATCCTGTAAATGACATTTGCCCTTGTGTTTTCTCTACCAACAACTAATTAAAATAGTATAAAAATATAAATTATATTTTGAATTAACTCAAAATTATATTTGAACTGGAAATGCCTACACAATGTTTAAAGTGAAGAAAATTAACAATACTTGGAGATGGTAAAATAAAGAAAAGACAAAAGTTCTAAATTTTAAGCTGACATAATCTGTTCACTTATAATTTTTCTATCAAATTTTAAATGGCTGAAAAGAAAATGGTTTATCATCTGGAGCCCCACCTACTTGCCTTTAATCTCATCAACTCTGTACAGTGATAAAACTTCTAAGCAAATAGCCAATAAGCCTGTATTCAACTGTGAAGCTATATCCAAAAAGTCAATAATCTTTTGTTCATCTTTCACCCTACCAATTGGCCTAATTAAAAAAAACAAAAACAGTGGTATTCATATAAACATTTGTTTCCTTATGGAAAGGAGAGGGAACACAAAAATCAATTTCAGATGCAAAAGACAATATAATCTGACTTCAAGATTACTTCATAACATTCTTTAAAATTGTGGTCATTGATAAACCAAATAAATTGAAAAAACAAATGAATTTATGATGTGTGGATATAATTGATTATTTAATAGATTGATCACTAATTTGTTTGAATTTACTTTCCATCTTATGGATTTGACAACTATATACAATGGTTGCTCTGAAAGTAAT